ATCTTCATTGTACCAACCAAAGCGCTGCTATAAGCAAGTAAGTGACCTATCTATGCCAACAAGTGGTATCGTGGCGAATAAGCACCTAAAGTATCACTTGAGAATTCAAGCAATCCCAACTTTATCGTATGACTTGCTTATGACAATATAACAATGCAGGGTGCTTAGGAAATAATATGCAAAAAACTTGTTTTTTTTTAAAATAAACACTTCGAAAATCAAATGTGTTGACTAGAATAAGGACACTTTAAGTTACACCCCTACATGTAAAACAAAGGGTTAGAAAAGTGCCAAGGATGTACAAAATACATGAAGGTGCCAAGTAGCTCATTGCTGTGTTGATTGTTTTATATGTGACATGTAATTAGAATAGATTAATTAGTTCGCTCAATAAATCACAATGGCCGGACGTATTTTTGCTTCTAAATTTATTGGAGAGAGCAAAGTCGAACCTCTAAGCAATTACATTTCCGCTGGTTAAATGGAAATCAGCGCAAAAAAGCCGGCAAATATATTAACCTCTTGTTGCCGCTTGTAGTCGAGCATACAATTACAAGACGCATACTATTGTAATGGTATGTTTCCTTCGAGAACTGAATGTATAGATTAGAGTAAGACAAATCAGAATCCCGCCAAGGCATTATGTGTAGACAACTCAAACAATAGCATATTTAATTGTGTTTGCACTTCGCTGAAATTCGATACAATTCCACTTAAAATGGATAAACCTTTTCAGTGAGCTTAACCCTGCACTAACTACAATTCTTAAATGTTATGAGCTTATTTGTTCGCATAGAAAACCGAAAAGAATATTATTACGGTGTTTGAAGGCAAGTACTTAATTTAGAACTAACGACAAGGTGAGTCTAATTTATAGATTCTTCACTCTGTTTACTTTGTTCTCGACTAGTTCCCCCTTTGCAAACATAAGAAGTGTTTCAGAACTAGATTACTACCACTTTGTTTCCCTTGCTTAATTCAGTGTGTCATTACATACTACACTTACACACTTGAGCGCGATAGCTTTTTTTTTATTAAAACCTGAAGCTGTAACGTGAATTAACGTACTGTACAGTATTAGTAGTTACAGGGTTGTTTGTTTAGTAGAAAATTGTAGCCAGACTTTTACTTATGACGAACGTGCGAATTGCATTTGTGGTGTTCTAGTGAAACATCTATTTTGCCTATCAATTTTGCCTGTATAATTCAATTCAAATTTCAATGTTCCCCTTAAAAAATGGAGAATATTCCCGTCTCGATCCCTCGTCCTGTATTAAAATATACCTCGTTATTAATTTGATACGTTTTTACAAACTTGTTACGTTGGCAGATTCAGGATTTAATATTTTAATTATATTTTCCGTGGAATGTTAATTTTTTAGTACTAAATTACAAGTTGTACAACTAGAGAAGAAAGTGATGGTTGTTTACAACGAGAGTTAAAAAGCACTCGATATTTACACATACAAAAGCAACTGTAACGTAAATTTAATTACGTGACTTACTTATGCAAAATTAATTATTATATAATGAATTGACAACAGTCCTTAAATCCATCGATTCACTCATCATATTTCCTGGAAAGAATGCGTCATATCCTCATTCGTTCCTTATCACCATCTGACCAATGCCTTATCGACTTGATGGCGCGCCGCTGCCGCTCTGGAATGTTCGCTACAGTACATACACACCTAATTTAATTGAATTAGGTATATTGCCTCAGCAATGAAGAACAAAATTGTCTGGAGATTTGTGGAGAAGGTATGAATTTTTTAGTTAATACGTATTCCTAGGTTTTTTTCATTTTCTTTTAAATTCTCATTGGTTGTTTCTGCCTGTTTTTTCCTTGGTCTATGTCTTCAGCTTGTATTATCTCTCCATATTTTCTTTGGTTCACGTTCATCTGGTTAATGGCAACTTGTCTCTTACTATCTTGACTTCACTATCGTCTGTCATTATGGTATCCACTTTTCACTTTGCATCCTGCAAAGTTGAAAACTTTGTTGTTCGCCCTCAAGTGGTATTCTTAAGTTTATTAATTTGGTAAAGATTTTTGTCGCCAGTTTTAGCGTGGCGCTCAGAAGATTCCTGGTCTTTTCTATCCCCTTTTTGAACCTCAGTATTGGTTCGATTCTTGTAAATGAGCGGACTGTATCTTAAGTAAATCTTACCTTTAGTTTCGGCGAATCGGCGTAAACTTGTTTGAAATTGTGAATGGGGTGGCGAAGGAAAGGACACAAGGAAAACTCACCCCAATCACCTAAAAGAACTAAACGTTTTAACTGTTCTGCTTGCTTTTACTTAACTCTCTCTGCGAATAATTGAAATCAAAAAATTATCTATCATTCTGTGCACGCATTAGTTATGCGCAGGTAACTAAAATTGTATTTGAAAGCATTGAAACGAAAGTAACAAAAACGCGGCAAGTTTAAATTGCTCATTCATTAACAAAACCGCCCACCAAAAAATGAAACAATGAAACATTTTTTACTGAAATATTTACAAAAAAAAACAAATTATAGTTTTCGCGTTTTCCTCACTGCTCAATGGGAAAACGTATTAGCGACGTAAGAGGGCGCGTTAAAATAGTGTTAGAGACCTTAATCTTGGCAATACGCGAGATGCCGTCTCTACCAGGACATAATGTCATGATTCGACCAATAGGCCAATTTAAAGGAGATGATGTCATCCCTTTAAGAAGGACGGTATCTCCAACATTAATAAGGGGTGACGGATTGGTTGACTTGGTTCGTTGCATCAAAGATTGCAAATATGATGAGCTCCATTGCTTCCAAAAGCTTTGAATGCTCTGCTGAATGAGCTGCCAACGCGTTAAACGGTTTTGAGGAACATCCAATAAGGAGGTTTCTGGTAACGACAACATAGAAGAGCCAATTAAGAAATGTCCAGGCGATAAAAACTCTACATCGTCTTGAGTATTTTTTACTACGGTACCACATAAAGGGCGGCTATTACATATAGCTTCTACACGACACAAAAGGGTATACAATTCTTCAAAAGTGAAGATATGATTTCCTGCTACGCGGTACAAATGAAATTTCATTGACTTTACAGCTGCTTCACTTATCCCATTAAAGTGCGGAGTAGCAGGAGGGTTGAAGACCCATTCAATTTTACGATTAGCTAAATTGGTAAAAATGGCTTCAGAAGAAGAGGAAAGAAATTCCCAAACTTCTTTCATGCGATTGGCGGCACCGATGAAATTGGTGCTACGGTCAGACTGAATTCGCACGCAAAGACCACGTCTGCCTACAAAACGATCTAAGGTGGCCAAAAAAGCGTCCGTCGAAAGTTCAGACACAACCTCAAGGTGCATGGCTTTAGTAGAAAAACATACAAACACACAAATCCATACTTTACTAGTAGGTGCTTTGCGCCGACGACTTTCACGTATGGTAAAAGGGCCTGCAAAATCCACGCCAACATTTAAAAATGCTCGCAGTTGAGCGAACCTGGATGGAGGTAAATCAGCCATAGGGGGTTGCATAGTCTCAGCTTTAAAACGATAACAGCGAGTGCAGTTAAAAACAACTGAACGCAGCAAGGAACCAATGCCAGGAATCCAATACTTAAGTTGAATTTGAGCGCGCATCGCCTGAGGGCCAGCGTGAAGCATAGCGCGGTGATAGTGTTCACATAACAATTTACCGAAATGCGACAATTTTGGAATTAACATAGGGTGCTTGGAACGTTCTGGTAGATTCGAGTACGATAAGCGACCGCCCACCCTAAGCACACCACGGGAATCTAAACACGGAGCAAGAGCTCGTAACGAGGTAGAATGTCCCTTACCTAACTTTATATTTTCAATTTCATTAAAGAAATACTCACACTGTGACAGCTTAATACATAATTCTTCAGCTGCGCACAACTCAGTAACTGTAAGAGGACCCTTTATTAAAACAGAACGGGATTTCTTCAATTTAGAGTTATTGATAAAACGCAGTACATAACTGAAAACACGTGTCAACCGCCCTAACGAGGAGAAATCCTTTATTTTACTGAAAACATCGTTTTCGTTTGCAGCTTTAACAGGCAAAGTAGTTGGTGTGATAGAACGCAGCTCCGGTAGTTGTTCAAATTAACCTTGTCCCACAACATAGGATGGCCATTCAGAGGGTGATTGCTTAAGGAATCTAGGACCTTGCCACCATAGGGGGTGATTGACTAAATCTGAACCACAAAGTCCACGGGAAGCGCAATCTGCAGGATTAATAGAAGTGGGTACATGACGCCAAACATTAGCAGGCATACATTCAGTGATTGCAACTACTCTATTTGCCACATAAGTCTTGAGTAAGTGTGGAGGCGTGCGCAACCACGCTAACACAATAGAAGAATCAGAATATAAAATTACATTGTGAACTGGTAAGCGCGATAGAAAAGTATCCAATGATTTCATCATTTTTACCAATAGTAATGCAGAAGAAAGCTCTAATCGAGGCACACTTAACGTTTTAAGTGGCGCGACCTTACTTTTTCCTTGAATCAGGTGAACAACCACCCTCTCATTAAAAATACATCTGAGGTACAAAACGGCACTATAGCCTTTGGTGCTGCCATCACAAAATCCAACAACATAAATATCAGCACTCACACAAGCGGGAACATAACGCCACAGATTTAAATCTGTGATAACGCGGAACCCGAATGTCAATCAATGCATTCACATCAAGTATAAATTTTTCCCATTCATTGCAAAGCTCGGTAGGCAATCTGTCATCCCAATTTACATCACACAACCAAAGACGTTGCAAAAAATATTTAATCCAAAATACAAACGGTGTTAACCAACCAAGTGGATCAAATATTCGAGCTACATAAGAAAGAACGTTGCGTTTTGTGACATCCGCCACAAAGGACCTAATTGAGTAACAAAAAGAATCTTTTCCTGCATTCCACTCGAGACCCAAAACTTTGATAGCTACATCACCCTCCTCACGAATAATCAGAGGAGTCTCGCGGTGCTCTTCAGGGATATGATTCAAGACATAATTGGAAGAACTGCTCCATTTACGAGGGAAAAAACCACCACGACTGAGAAGTTCGTGCAGTTCACGGTACAACTTAATAGCTTCTTCCTCCGAATCTGCGCCACCACATATGTCATCAACATACGTTTGCAAAAGGAGAATAGAAGAAGCCAGGGGGAAATCGCGGCCTTCGTCAGCTACGAGTTGTCTAAGAACGCGCTGAGCAAGAAAAGCAGAAGGGCCAAGTCCATAAGTGAGAGTACACAGCTCGTACTCGCGCAGTGGTGACCTAGGAAAATAGCGCCAAAAAATATGCTGATAACTGCGATCTTCAACCGTCACTAAAATCTCCCGGTACATCATTTTTAAATCAGCGGTTAGTGGAACAGCGTAAAGACGGAAACCAGATAAGACATGAGAAATATCACGTTGAAGTTTGGGTCCTTTGCACGAACGATCATTAAGAGAGGTTCCCGTTGAATCCTGACAGGAACCATCAAACACAACACGGGTGTTTGTCGTAGAAGAGACCTTAAAAATAGGCTGATGGGGAATAACATAATCCGCCGCATTATGAGCTATCTCCATATGCCCTAAGTCTTCGTATTCTTGCAGAAAAGAGTGATAATTAGTTTTTAAATTTTCATCGCGTGCAAAGCGACGTTCAAGAGACAAAAAACGACGCTCCGCTTCATTGCGGTTGACACCAGAAGGAATAATTGGGGTAACAAAGGGGAGCTTTACAACATACCGACCTTCATCGTTACGCTTGGTTGTTTCAACAAAAAGTTTTTCACAGTACGTGTGCTCCGGATTTTCAGGAGAAACGATAGCAACCTCTTCACTTTTCCAAAACTGGGTTAAAGCACTTTCAAGGGAAGAGTTAACGGCTAACATAGTTTGAGAAACCATAGGTTTTGAATTGGAAGGAATTTCTCCCAACAAAACCAATCCAAAAATAGTATGGATACCAGCTGGCTTGCCTCTGATAATCGGACGGTCAAGCACTACATCAGGATACAGATTAGCGCCAAGAAGAAAATCTACTTCGCTCGGCTCATAGAACAAAGGGTCCGCCAGATGAATGCTATTAAATCGCATAGCTGAAATGCAGTCGACAGGAGTTGAAGGCAGCATAGACGAAATTTGCGGCAAAACGAGAGCTTCACTTTTTATTGAACGTCGGCCGTTTGCAAATGGAGATATAAAACATTGCACCTTTCCTAAGGGAGGAGCCGATTTGGCTTCGCTTATACCAGAAATACATATATTTGTGTGTTGGGTTTCAAGTCCTAATCTACGTACACAAGCTTCAGTAATACATGACACCTCAGAGGCAGATTCTAATAAAGTGCGAACGAGTTTATAGCGTCCATTGCTAGAACGTAAATAAGCACGAGCAGTACCAAGTAGTACAGAAAACTGTTTAAAATTAGGTTCAATATGACACGACAGGGTTTTCTTTGAACATTCGGCATCTGGAAAAGACTCAAGTTTATCAGTAAGCTGTTCTGCGACTTGCGGTAAACTGGGCCTCTCAACATGTAATAGCGAATGGTGACGCTGATGACATGTTTTGCATCTACCAGTGGAGTTACAGTTAAAGCGGGGATGATTACCCATGCAATTGAAACATAAGGAAAATTCTTTAAGGACATCATATCGTTTCTCTACTGGTAGCTCCAGACATTTTTCACAAGACGATAATACGTGAGTACCTTTACAAGAAGGGCACGAGCGAACAGACACCGGCGCAATTTGGTTCTTGTTTTCAACAAGCAATGACGTACATGATTTACGTTGGGGTTCTAACTTTGACGTGATCTTTGGCGTGACATCCGAGTGAAGCTCTAAAGTGCTAAGCATTTTGCTAATAAATTCCATTAATGCCTTATAAGTAGGGAAAGTACTAGCTGGATAAATTTTGTCAAATTCGGTTTGTGTAGCGCGATCGAGGTGATAATAACATAAATGAAATAATGAATAATCTAATTTATCCGGAACATTTAAAGCATGATAAGCCTGAACAGCGCTGTGATGAGCAGAATAAAACTTTTGTAAATTGCTATAAGAAGATAATGAGACAACATCATATTTTATCAAAATATTTAAGTGATGGTTAGCCAGCCGCCTGGGATTTTCAAATCTATCAACCAAAATATTATAAGCCACCTCATAATTGGCATCAGATAATTTTACATGCGCTACTAATTTACTAGCCTCCTCAGATAAAGATGACAAAAGATGCTGAAGCTTTTGAGTGTTATCCAAACTACTATTATTATGTACTAATGAGTCGAACAAACATTTAAATTGCTGCCAATCGCAAAGCTTTCCGCTAAACGTGGGAATTGCTATAGCCTTTAGTTTAGTAACAGATGGATTCGTAGTTTGAGATACATTTTGATTTTGAGCTCTTTGTGATAAACGCAAATAATAAAGCTCGATATTATCAACAAGGTCAAAAAATGCATTACGTTGTTGTTCATATTTTAAATGTTCTTTAGTTTCCGCCGTTGAATTGAAATCTAAAATTTGGTTAATTAACTCTGTATATTGTTGTACAAGAGGACCAACCCGAGATTTTTTAACTGTAGCAACATCTATTTCATTGCATTAACTTGGATAACAGCATCATTGATCGCTTGCATCAAACTATGTAAGTTTTCCCGTTGAGCAATCAGCGTCTTCTTCTCGGACATATTTGAAACAATCTAAAACGTGCAATTGACAAAGCAATAAAATTAAATTTAAATTTTTTTGGAAACGGTTTGATTGAGCTGTTTAACCTTGAAGATAATCCTCAATTTTTCGGAGATAAGCGACTAACACATGCACTAAAATATGCGGTTTGGCATATTTTATCTTTTTGCATTAAAATGCATACATATTAAGAAAAACCAACATCCATTGCTCGTAAGGACCATTAATTTGTAAATGAGCGGACTGTATCTATTAAGTAAATCTTACCTTTAGTTTCGGCGAATCGTCTTAAACTTGTTTGAAATTGTGAATGGGGTGGCGAAGGAAAGGCACAAGGAAAACTCACCCCAATCACCTAAAAGAACTAAACGTTTTAACTGCTCTGCTTGCTTTTACTTAACTCTCTATACGAATAATTGAAATCAAAAAATTGTTTATCATTCTGTGCACGCATTAGTTATGCGCAGGTAACTAAAATTGTATTTGAAATCATTGAAACGAAAGTAACAAAAAACGCGGCAAGTTTAAATTGCTCATTCATTAACACTGTGATTATTCATAAAGACCTCAGGTTCGTGGTTATAATAATTAAATTCTTCTTACAATCTTCTTCTGGTTCCTTCGTGGTTAGTAAGGTTGGTCCTACCTTTCGTACTTTTACTTTAAGGCTAGCTCAGATGTTGCCTAAGCCCTTTGTATTAATAACTCAACAAAACGCTGCTTCTTTGGACAACCATTAGTAATTGGAATTTTTAGATTTATTGGGAGATTTATTTGCGCGATCTTGTGTAAGATTGTCGCCCTCTCTCCTAATTTAGCTATCGATGTTTTTTGTACAACGCAAACTATAATTATTTCCCACGCACTGTAATTATCACTTTTAATTACGCGGTAGTTCACCGTCACTGTTAATTTGGTACTTTATTAGTGGTAAGTACTTTCGAGTGATTCAGTAAGTCCCACTTTATGAGCTTGGTTCTCAACAAAATGGACCCGCTTCTTAACAATTCTACACCAGTACGATCAACATGCGATCTTAACACATCGAGCGCTCAAAACCGTTTCCCGCATTCACTTCCATTCCACTGATCACCTCTGCAACGTGCGTCCTTTAACTTACTACAATCTCATGATAAAAACAACGTTACAAATACAATGTGGTCTTTCCTTTAGTTGAACAACTTAAGTACCTTGTTTTATGTTTGTTACAGATAAATGCGACAATAACACTGAAACTGGCAAGTTGCTTACCAGACAGCTGTTCCACTGCCGATGCGTCTACAATATACAAGTATTTCGGACTCAATATTTCGTTCCCAGAAAATTTGTGCCAAACATTCGCTGATCGAGACAAACTACGGTTTGGGATATCGGAATATTGTGGAGTGTAAGTGTTTTGAAGCTTTAATCTCATTCAGTGTCCATTTCCAGGGTATTTTTCGGAATATTCGCGCTGGTGATTGCCGCTTCCACAACTTACGACATCTATCTGTACACAACTGAATCACGTAAGTATTCGCAACCTGGTTAACATTAAATTCTCACTTGCAGAAGTCAAGCATCAGGCACTTGTCGCGTTTTCCATTCTTAAAAATGGCAAAAAACTGATCGCCATCGAAAACAATGCCAAACAAATAACTTGCATGAACGGAATTCGAGTTATCAGCACCATGTGGATCATCCTAGACCACAGATACTCCGTACAATTCTACTTCCCTCTGTGGAATAACTTCTACAAGGAGACCGTAAGAGCATCGTGTTCGCGCAGTTCTGCGTAATTCTTTAATTTTCAGTGGACGCGAAGTGCAGGAAATATGTTTATGATAAATGCACAAATGGCAGTTGACACCTTCTTTCTGCTATCTGGAATTCTTGTAACCTACGTTTACCTCTGGTCCGCCGAGAAAAGCACCTCGTTTCATATTTTCAAGTTCTATCTCCACCGGTTTTTGAGGTGCTTAGATGCTAATAGAAGTTGCTTACGGCATGCAGTTTTTCAGATTAACTCCCGTTTTGGTCGCCGTAATCGTTTTCATAGTCACGTTGCTCAGACAATTCGCATCGGGCCCACTCTGGTCGAGCATGATTCACTCACAACTGATTGAGGGTTGCGAAAAGTATTGGTGGAAGACGCTGTTGTATATTCAAAATTATGATCGAACGCCTTCAATGGTACGCAACTTTAGTGTTTTTAACTGCTACAATAATGAATTCAGTGCATCCCTCACGGTTGGTATTTGAGCGCCGATATGCAGCTGTTTGTGATTTCTCCGATCTTTCTGCTGGCGTTATCCAGATGGCCGAAACGTACCCTTTATGGAATCGTAGCGCTCATTGTTTGCAATATAGTCGGATGTTTTTTGCTAGGTTGGTTTTTTGAGCTTAATGGTATAATGCAGGGAAATGTAGAGTAAGTAGGGATTTTTTCGGTACAATGAGTCCATGTTGGAACCCTAGCTTTGAAAAGCAGATGGTATTCGTTTGGCAGTATTATTTTCCCGCCTATACAAGAGCAGCACCATGGTTGATAGGAATTATATTGGGCTACTACCTATACTTGTCCAAAAAGAAGAGGTATGAGCTGTCTACGGTATGTGAGTTTTCATCCTCGGTTAACGATTGGACAAATGAGTTTTAGAAGATTGTCGCAATTTTGTGTATTCTCAGCTTGATGGTCATGTGCGCAATTGTATTTGGGGGACACAATCTGATTACATCAGAATATCGCAGGGTTTTAAACGCAATTTACATAGCTTTGGTCCGCCCGGCCTGGGCCTTAGCTGTAGCCGCCGTGATTTTTACATGTGCCAATGGTTACGCAGGTAATGCTGAAGATGTTGTAACCACAAACCCAGTAGACCACCATTTCAGGTCCAGTAAATTGGTTCCTTTCGTTGCCCATATTTGAAGTGCTATCGCGTTTTACTTACACACTTTACGTTGTACATTACATCGTCATTTTTGTTCTAACAAGTCAAATGAGGACAACTGTACTGTTTCGCAACTTGGAGGCGGTATGTACCTACTCGACATAGTAGCATCATCTTAGTAAGTTGAACTGTTTACAGATGCACCAGTTTTGGGGCGACTTTGCGTTTACGTTGTTCGTCGCGACGCTCGTAACTTTAGCGTTTGAGCTACCCGCGATCGAAATTGAAAAGATCATATTCGCAAAGAAAAGAAGTGAGTTCACTGACGGAGAGGGTTTCAGTGGCCTTAATTTTGATTCTAGCTGAGTCAACGATGACATTGGAGGGCAGTAAAGTTACGGAAGCCGGTCCTAGTAGATATTAGGTACTTTCCAAGTGCTAGCTTAGTGTAACTTACACTATGGTGCTAGGGAGAAGTTATTATTTATTGGTGTGAGATTATTATAGAAACGATTCAGTGAACGCGGAAAATTGCATACTGTATCATTTATTTCAGCAACTATTTACTTATTAATAACTTAATACACGCCGTTCAGGCAATCAGAGAACAATATTTACCTTGCTTCATTTAAATCAAAACATACAAATGCTAGACTAAATAAACAATATTTACAAACTTTTGTACTTAACACAAGCAAGTCTTATACTGTTTGTTTATACCCAATACTCCCCTTGGATTTTACTCATGGTACTAGCAATGGGTTAAATAACAACAAATAAATAAACAAAGGTACCTATTATTGAATCGATCTTTAATTTTCCATTTACTTTCCAGAAGAACAGGGATTTTCGCGACAAAGCTTGGCAAAAAGTTGTGTGCAGGAAGCTTTTGGTGTACTTTTTGCTTTTGCATGTCTTCTATTTATATTTTAGTTATGTTTTATCTATTTGTGGCGTGTTGTGGGCTAGGTTCCGAAGGCTTCTGAAGTATGCACGCGTACCGGGTTTTCTCAATGTTTATTTTGTTGGCAGTAATCATTTTATTCTTTCTCGCACTAACCATATGATTTTCATGTCACAATTTGTTATTATTTACATTTTGCATAATGTTGATATTTGTTTATTGAAGCACGACGTGCTCCGAGCTATGTTATCTGTACCGTTAGTGAATCATGTTTGTTTGTCATACTATACAGGTGCTTATGCATTTATATTGTTTTATTAAATAGGTATTTATTAATGTGTTCACACGGAAGTAGGTTATCAGTGTAGTGTTACCCTATATGTTGGACTCACCAACTGTTCCGTAGAGAACAGTTTTATTTTACCCAAAGGCGCCCTGAAACCTCCATTGTCATGCGTAATTTCTGTCAGGAAATTTGAGTTTCCATGACCCAAGCAGAGCAGACTACGTTTCCTGCCACTTTTCACTTTACTGGCCGCACTTGTCAGTTTACTGGCCGCCCCGTCACTATACCGGGCTCAAATTTGACAATTGTTAAATGACTCCTGTCATCATTGACAGATTGACATTAATCAAGAGTTCTATATAAAAATTGAAATGTTATATTAAAATAGGATTTCGGATAAAATTTAATACAAAACTCGTCAGTAAAATGACATTACCAAACTCGGAAATTAAAGTACTCGTCATGAACGTTAGATGGCTGTGCTTATATTCTTCTACCTCAGAGTTGCCCGCTGTAAATATTGGGTAAGTCAAGATTGCATTGCTACATCGGGGGCCCCTAAGATCAGCACAATTTAAATAAGTAGTATCATTGTATTTTATAAATACAATGACAGTATGCAAGTTGGATCGCTGGTGTGCTAGTTTTTTCTTTATGTTTGCTCCTTTTTTATTACTAGTATCTGTAGATAAATTATGCTTTTAAATGTGTCCCCAAATTATTATGCCGTAACAAAGTTGGTAAGCGCACAGAGATTATAGTCTCATGCCCATTTGCACCAATAAAATTAAGCCTTACTTAAAGTTAAGTCGAACTTCAAATCTATGGCAACGATTATTAAGACAATCGTTGCTATGGCATTTAAGTACTTATGCTTAACTTTAAGCGATACTTAATTTTGTCGGTGCAATTGGCTATCAGTGATAACATTCAACGGACAAACATACGCGATTCGTTTAAAGATATCTGCAGATCCTACTAGGAAGTGTAATTTTCCCATTGTTCTGCTGTGCAAGTTGTAACGGGTATAAATATGCTCAAAGATGATTGTAACGAAGCACCCAGTTTTCACCAGTTTTGGTGACCACTCTGCGAACGCCCGGTATAAAGAGTCGCTTCGTTGCGAAAGTGTTGTGCGGAAGGTATTTGTGTTGGGTCTAGGAGATGAAGGTAGAAGCTAAAGGTAATTGATTTAATTTGAAAATTTGAATACGGCTAATGAAGTGCGTGAACATAACAGTACCTAGCTAAATAAATGAGTTGCAGAAAATCCGCCCGATTAATCTGGGTCTTATCTCAAAAGAACATCGATTCCGTATTTTTCCGATGCCGAGGAAAGGCGTAATTATTTAAAAACGTTTTAATTTGTTTGGTATCGAAGGTATAAGCGGACGGAGCGGGCATTCCAGTTGATCCCTGCCCAAAATGGACGTTTAGATAAAATAATAGAAAAGGCAGTATGAAATGGGATCTTTTTGACTTTCGCATCCTCGCCAGTCACGTTGTGTAAGTACGGACATTTTCAGCTTTGCCGTAAAATTGCTTTTGCAACCGTACCGCATTTAAATCTTGTTGCTATTTTCACTTTCGCTAGTTACATTTCTTTGCATCCGTACCGTTTCATTTTGCTTTGCGATTAAGTACCGTACCGTATTTATTAGGGATCCTCAGATCCTATATAGTTATCTATGGTTGTCAGTCCTTTTGTCCGCACGTCTGTCTGTGTTCGCTATAACTCTTAGTTAAGGTCCTCAGATACTTTTCATACCTTTTAATTTTTGTCCGTCTATTCGTCCGTCCGTATGCGCTATAACTCTTTTTAAATGTGACCGATCGTGTTAAAATTTGGTGTACTGGTACTAAGGACGCTATTGACTTTCAGGAATATGGCTCAGGAACAAAAGTCAATAGGAATAGAAATCCACATACTTTTCTCTCTAGATCATGTATCGAGTTCGGACTCACAGCTAAGACACGAATGCCCCAAAACTCTTCTTCCGATTAATCCCTACCTATCTTATCATTAATTAACTGGACAAAATGGCGCTTTATTAACGAAAACGGTCATTTTTGGCCATTGAATTACATTAAAACTTTCCCGTATGTTTAATTGGCATTTTCTAAAGCTTGCAGTGAAATTACCACTACATAAATTCTATATCAGCACTTTTGGTTACAGGAACCGCATTCAGATAATATTATCTCTTGTTATCGCCAACAGGCAGGCACCAACGGCTTCCTACAATGAAGTGTAAAAAAATGGTAGTTGACCTTATCCATCGTTCCACAAGTCTTACAATGACCTACTAGGAAAAATCGACTTTTAGGTGAAAAAACTTTTTCAATCTTTGCACCATATTCGAGTCTCCCGAATATTCATCCTGACAGAAGAACATCTTTTCTCTCGAAAGACCTCCATAACAAATGCAATAGGCTTCGCTACGAGCTCGACTACTCCATCTGGGACCTTGAGAATAAGGGATTGGAGACTTTTCGGTGAGAAAGAAAGAAGAAGTTTTGTCAGAATCATTACGTGCAATACGTCTTCTTTTATGATTATCTTTGCTCTCCCATGCTCATCGCTCGACCAATGAAATAGCCATACCGTCATGGTTAGCCAATCTAGAAAAAATACTAATGAAGGGTCAAGTACGAGCGTCCTTAGCTCGAAGAAGTAGAGATGATTGAGGCCAATTCAGAATATGCTCTAATCCGACGTCCAATAAGGGATAGCTCAATTTGTAGTGGCGAAGAGTCTGCAGTTCAAGATCACAGTTTTGAATTCGGTCCCGCTGTTCTGCCTCTGATGTAATATCTAATCCAAATGCACCAGAAGGAGTGACAATAGAGCCCACTTCTTTCCCCATAAGACCCTGCAAGATCGAAACGAGAAAGAAAATGTCATATCTTCAAGAACATGTTATAAAATAACGAGGGGAGAATGAGCCAATGAATTGTTATATTGTAGCACAGATAAGTTAAGTAGGTAGTGTTTGTTGTCTGTAGTATGCGAATCGCGGATATAGCACTCGACTTCTAAAAACAAACTACTTACCGATATAGCTAGTTGCTTGTATGTAGGCGTTTACAATCCCATATAAACAATTTAGGTGGGTATGTATTGCAAGTGGTACCTACCTACCGAATATCTTGTCAAAGGAGCCCGAAAACCAAGTATATTGATTGGGTATAGGATTATCGATTTCATGTGCTCTTGGTGAAGTATAGAAAAGGTGAATTAACCTTTTGGGCGTTTCATAGAAAAGCACAACACAACTTATACAGGGTGGCGTATACAGCACATCAAATTTGTTAAAATCGGTCAAACGAAGCAGGTTACTGCGAAAACAATTGAATGCCCCACACCATCTTTGTTTTTGAAATAACTAAGTTTTTGTTTTTACGAAAATGATACATAAACTGGTTCTCTTTAAAAATGTAAAACTTTTTTTTTAGTTTATTATGCGAAATTAAGAAAAATGCAATTTTAAAATTTAAGATGGCAGTTACTGGTGGTAATGTTTAGAATTTGAAAATATTTTCCAGCGATTCTTCATGACAGATTTACCCAATAATTAATTTTTACCCCTAAGTCATATGACGAACGGTTCTCGAGATATGGCCGAGGAACAGTCTTATTGGGTCACCCGGTACAGGTGATTATGCATTTGTATTGTTTGTTAAGCATAAGCATAAGTTTATTATTAGTGTGTTATTTCTCTGTACGTTTAGATTTAGCTATTCCTTGGGGGGAGTGCCGCATGCAGTTCGATTCTCAGCTGCATATGTTGCTCCTTCATCTCGTACACGCTGCAGCTCTTGTGTCTTTTCGTGTTAAATTAATTGAAATTTATCATTTTACGAGTTGTTTTATCCCAATAATTGATCGTACATGTGATTCAATGTGATTTTATATTAAATGGTATCATTATTCCACTCGCCTTTATGGTTTCGTGTATTTTGACTATCTGAATTTGTTCAACCGCGTTTGACTTTTATCGTGCATTTTGAGAGGTTTTATTTATGTAATTTCTCTTGCATTTTGTTGCCGTAGTTGATCTATTTCATGTATTTGTGTGGGGTATACGGTATACCGGGGTTTTTGTCCCAAAGAAGGTTTCCCTGGTATCGTTCGGTTGTGTGCGTAATACATTTTATTTGTTCTTGTCTTCTAAGGCACAAAATTCTGCTTTTTATTCGATACTTTTCCCGATTATGTTTCATGTCCTAACACATAAACAACAGTCCAATAGCGCATTCGCTATCCAACTATTGAATGTGTACAGGACCATCTCCTGGTTTGTGTTGAGCCGACAAAAGTTGCTCTAGAATACCAAACGACGTCGCATAAATGTCCAAATCGTCATAATCAGTAAAGTCAAATTCGGTATTGTCCTTCTCTATACAGGGTGACAACCACAGAAGAGAGAAAAGGGACTTTTACTGCATGCAGTGCCCCTCTACAGTTGAAATAACCTTTCTCCGT